AGTTAAATACTATATATACACACACATATATTTATTTATATATATATATATATATATATATACACACACACACACACACACACACACACACATATATATATATATATATATATATATATATATGTGTGTGTGTGTGTGTGTGTACACATATATATATATATATATATATATATATATATATATATATATATATATATATATATATATATATATATATATATATATATCCATTCAAATTCTGCCTTTAGATTTATTTAATCATTTGTTAAAAATGTTAATAGTTTAACTTTAATGTAGTCGAGTTTTTGTATAATGTATTAATTAGATATATATATATATATATATATATATATATATATATATATATATATATATATATATATATATCAACATTATATTATCATATTATTATAAAATTTGTTATATATAGTAACACACATATAATTAATGTGTTAATAATATGGTAATATTAAAAGACTTTGCTTCAAAACAATACTTTTAAAGCTTGATTTTAGCAATCATAATTGAATAAATGAATAATTTAGAAAGAGAAGATAAATGAAACTGAAGAAAGGTAATTATTTATTTATAAAGACAAAATGAGTTTAGAAAAGAAGTTATTTATAACTATGGTTGGGAGAGGTAGATGTAGTTGATTAGAAGTTGAAGTGTGATTGAGAGAAGTAGATGTAAAATGGTAGTTTGACACCACCTGAGGTTTTTGCAACGAGTGTTGATAGACCGACTCAAGTTATAGAAAGCTTTATTTACTGATTTAAGCCGTAGGGTTTGATGTCACTCGAAGCATTTAAGACTAGTAACCACGAGCTCTCCGCAATTAGATATGAAATTAGTTAACGATAATTTTTTTTGACTTGTGTTTCCAACACTGGCTATAGAGAGCTTTTTATTGATTTTAAGCTTTAGGATTAGGCGTCACTTAGACTTTCTACGACTAGTGTCACCGAGTCTAGTCACTGTAGGCCTGAGTTTTCACATGAGTCTAGTCACTGTGAGCCTGAGTTTATTTATTTTCAAAATAAATCGCTTTACAAATTGTTTTTCAAATTCATTTCAATAATGTAAACTGTTTCGTTTTGTAAATTATCTTTTAAATTCATTTATATCTTTATTTATTCATTTATATAACTTATCTTTCAAACTCATTTGTATAACTTTCTACAACTTCTAGTTACACAAAATTATTTTACTGCTTTCAATAATGTAAACTTAATGTTTAAAGCTTTACCTAGTGGACACATACATAGAAAAGACGTCTTTTAAATGTCTTATACACGTTTTAAAGACGTTATACATATTTAAAGCTTAAACTACTACCTTAATAATAAATAAAATTTCTACATCTTCAAATAAATACTTTAATGCAAAAGATGTTGTGTAATCATTAGATCGAATTATTTTTCCTGTTGGAAAATTGCTTGAATTAGTTGTATATAAAAAAAGGACACTTTCATCTCTTTTACTCACAACTTTCTTTAATTTTATAATTCTTTGTGTTAGAAGTTAACACGACAAACTCTGTTGATTTAATCTTCTATTTATTAAACTATTTATTTAAATCTAAAACATTACTTGCTTTCTTTTCTTCAGTAGATGTAAAATTGGAGTTTGATGGCACCTGAGTTTTTTGAAACTTGCGTCAATCGACTAATTCAACTCATAGAGAGCTTTTTTTACTAATTTAAGTCGTAGGGTTTAACGCAACTTGAACCATCTAAGGCAAGCCACCGCAAGCTCTCCGCGACTAGAAATTAAACCAAGTGTTAATCATCAAGAGTTTTTTGCTACTACTTTTTGCTCCCAACTCAGGCTATAGCAAGCTTTAATTTTGATTTTAAGGTTAGGAGTTTGGCGCCATTTAGACGCTCCATTGCAAGCGTTATCGTTCCTAGTCACTGTGAACTCCATTTGAACAGTTGACATTTATTTTCATCTGCTATCTATTTATTTGTAAAAACTTTAAACTTTTAAAAACATACCTGCCTTTGTTTGTTAAAAAACCTTTTTTTAAGATGAAATGAAAAAGAATCTATTTTGTTTTTATAATATTTAAGAATAATTCATTACATTTGAACTTGTTATAAATGTGAAAATTATTTCTTGCCAATGCTTGCTTATTTGCCGTAGCCAGCATTAAGCAACTTGCAATTAAGCAACTGCTTATTTAGCCAGCATTAAGCAACTGCTTATTTTCTTGCTTCTGAGCCAGAACTCTAACTACTGTGGCACGGTTGCTGTGCTGTTTTAAATTTGCTATTTAAAACTGTTTTTAAGAAAGTCTCAAAAGGGTTAAGCAAAATCATCTTCAAAACCCAATATTTTTTTTATTATGCAAAATAATCAATATTTTTAGTATTAACTTTGAATATGGGGAAATTCAAAAAACGTATTTTAACTTTTTTTAAATTGCAATTAAAATTATTATTTTTTGAATGCATGCGTTCCTTTGGGTTAAAACTAATCTTTGTCCAGAATTCTTGGTTTTGAGAATAATCAAAAAGCGCCATACAAAGAATGCCGTTTGGTGCAATATTATTACATCTGCACATATAAAGCTATAAAGCAAAATATAATATTCTTATAACCTAAGATGAGGTAAATATGAACAATTAAGTAATACGCAATAAATATACCGTATATCGAACATAACTACAGTAATATGCAATAAATATACTGTATATTAAACACAACTACAGTAATATGCAATAAACTAATTTGAGTCCAAACAATAGTTGATTTTCTTCAACAAAAGAGAACAAAATGAAAATGTACCACACCTCCAGATACCACACTGAACAATCTTTATACATAAATGTATTTTAATGACTTTAAAATTAATTTCCTTCATAGTTTTGGCCTCGATTACTTTAAAATTTAACTTACTACAAAACTGGAGGCCATTACAATGAAGAAAACTGGTTTTTCATAACGTTTTGTAAATTTCTTAAATTTAAGTTGGATTTGCAAAAGCAATGATTACTAATTACAAGATTCTTTGCAAAAGACATATCCTCACTATAGAAAATTTTGCATTTGCGAAAGACAAAGTCTCAAAATTTATTAGGTTAAGATTTCCAGCCAAGGCCGGCGCGAAGGAGGGGGAGGAGGGGTGTTTTAATGAACTTAATGAATATTTGCACCATTAGTAAGCAAACTGAGACTTTTTTGTATATTTAGTTAGAAAGTTGAAAGCTAATTTAGTAAATTACAGTCGGTAAAATTGGACTTTTGCCGACTAGTCACTGTTTGCCACTTATAGGCAAATTGGAAATCGGAGATTTTTGTAAAAAAAGCATTTTTTTTGATTCAGAATCTCAGAAACGGTTTTGAGCTTTTTCCTTTTCTCTTTTCAAGTTACTAGCGAATACTAGGTAAAAAATTTAATTTAAATTCTTCGTTATCAAATATCTGATGTAAATTAGTTGCTTCTAAAATGTAAACATAGAACAGAGATTCTTAAATGGCGTGGATGTTATCATTTTTTTCTTCATTTTTTGGTTTTATTTTATTTTGTATACCTTTTATCTATTTTTATTTTCACTATATATATATATATATATATATATATATATATATATATATATATATATATATATATATATATATATATATATATATATATATATATATATATATATATATATATATATATATATATACATATTACATAATATATAGATAAACCGGCTCAACTTTAACTACAAAGTTCTAAACAAGGCGGAATAAGAGATTTATAGTAGTAGAGTGTGGAAGTACGATAAAGAGGGCAAATGACTGGTTAATTTAAATTCAAACCTAACTCAGTTTAATGATAATACTAAGCATTTACCTTAGCAGAGGATAATTTTGCAATGGACTGTATACAAGGTTTCCATAAGAGGTCAATACTAAACGAAGACGTAAAAGTAGAAGACTCAGTAAAAGTTTTTTTATTTATCAACATCACGATAGATTTAAATTAATTATTACCATTTCAAAATTATCACACTTGAGATCAGCTGTTGTAAGCAATCAAAATATGACTTTATGTCAATACTGGAATATATAGTTGTCAGCAAATAAAGCCACACTAGATGTAAGATTGTTGGAAAACCTTAAAAATCTTAGAAATAGAGGACCTTTTTTTAATAGGAGTCGCAAATGTTATGCAAATTACTAAAATATTTCAACATTCTTCCTCACTAAAAATTCCTACATCCCTCACTGCTTTAAGTGGAAAACATCACGTGTGAAAGATCAAAAATGCTACATTTATTTAATCCTAAATGGAATAAAGTAGCGAGTACCAAGTAAATATGTCTCTCCGAATACCGCGATGGTAATTTTTAAACTTAATAAATTTTAAAAGATTATATTGCCAACTTTTATTTATTTGGTATTGACTACTTTTATACCATTTGGATTAAATATGCATTCAAGATAAAATGAGGTATTTTCCGCCTCCCATGTGGGATTTACGATAAAAAAGCATATTGAACAGAATAATAATCTCCACATGGGTTATTTGCAGGAAAAAACACTCGTATACTTTGTGGAATTGCCATTGGAATTTGCCACGTGAAACCCACGCGGAACAAAATAATAATCCTAATCACATGCGGAAAATATTATTCCAAATTACATGCGGAAAAACCACGCGTACCCCTTGTGCATTTTTTCACTGGGAAATACGCAGTATATCTATGGTACATATGTTTAAGGAATACATTTATGTTGTAATTTTACACACTTATCTAAACTATAAACTATAAAACAATTATGTATTATGTAACTGTAAAATAATTATGTATCACATCTTTATACTGTAAATTGGAGCAATTAAAAATTTTAATCAGTAAATCTCGCATGTATAAGGATAAAATTAAGAGCATCGTCCCGGGACACCTGAAGTTATTTTTCAATCCATAGATTGTTTTTGTTTCTGTTGCGAATAAATAAATTTTTTAAACAAATAACACATAAAATAATAACTAAAAACCCAGAAACCAAATGTCTACTGCATTTGCAATACTTTGTACAAACGTCCAATATCGATGAGCGTTTAAAAAATTTATAAATGCCTAGCGATAATAACAATAATTTATAAGACACAATACTTTGTGTTTTATAAACTCTCCGTTCCGAAATACTGTCCCGATTTGCATTCAACGTAAAGAGTTATTGAAATTAAATTGTTGTTAATTTTTTTATACAATTTTTTTTTTGAACATTCAATACACTATTAGTATTACATTGTAATGTAATACTAATGTAAATCGGAACATTATTTTGGAACAAAGGGAGTATTTTTACAAAAATTAATTTAAATCATAACATTTAAATAAATTCTATGTATCAAAATTGTTTTTATTTGTTTTTATTTACATTCAATTTTTACACCACACTAACTTGCCAACCAGTATGCTCAAAACCACAGGCAAAATACAAAGCGTCATAATGCTCTGATTGAGTGCTCCAATCAAACGTAACTTCTTTATCATCTATTGATATTGTAACGCGCAATTTACCAGAGCTTTGACGTGAAGCATGACATAACATAACGCTACCTCGTTTCAGCGCAGGAAGTTTAGTCACCATAGGTAAGCCATTAACAAATATTGTCCCTCTTGTATTCATAACAGCGGTGTTAGGAGAATGTGTGAGTTGTTTAAATATTTGCTTGTTGTGTGACAAAAATCCAATGCCATCGTTTATACTACTTTCTCCTGCTTCTTCTATCTGAATAAAAATGTATACATTTTGTTTTAAGATAGATGGAACGTAATATAAAATTATTGATAATGAAAAAATAATGAGAAAAATAATTAGGAAGATAATTAGTGTGCTGATTAGTTAAAAGATAATCTGAGAATCTCAGAATTTTTTAAAATTATCTTTATAAAAACTTCTTAAAATAGTTAGATTATGACGTCATGAGCACAGGTGGCTGCATCAAAAGACACATCGCCTTTAGCTACAATAGAGACAAAAATAACAAAAAATTTAAATCAAAATAATAACAAAAAATTTTACTTTAAATTGAATATGTTGACCCAAAATATAACTTGCAACTTTAGAACGCAAAATATGAGAACTCTCAGGAAATATTTTCGTGGTGGTTCGACATTTGTTACTTAATTGATAAAGCTGTAGGTTACTTTCAGTAATACAATCTTCCTCACGCCAAACTATACAAATTAACAAAAATAAGTAATTTGGAAATAAATTTCTAGTATAAAAGTATTTTGAATTTATGTTTTTAATGTTGTTTAGCGGTATAAAAATTGAAGAAATAGTGTCAAAATTTTTTTTATATAACCATAATTATTTACTCAATACTATTATTTTGGTACACACGAATACCGGTAGTGTTGATATTTGTAATTGAACTTTTATTTCTCGTATTTTGGTATCATCACTATCGGTATTAAATGTTTCTAATCAAAAAAAACTTTTAAAAGAATTTGGAAGAATAAAAATACCAAGTTTAAAACTTATTAATTATTAAATATTATTAATTCACAATATATTATTAAAATATTATCAATTAAAAATATTATTATTGAATCAAATTAAAGAGTTTAAATTGCTTATAAAAGCTATACCACTTTTTAAATAGAGTTATAATCAATATTGCAATCTATATTGCTTGAGTTATACTCATAATTTATACCTAAATATACTGTATATTGAACACAACTACAGTAATATTCAATAAACATACTGTATATTGAACACAACTACAGTAAAATGCAATAAATATATTGTATATTGAACACAATTAAAGTAATATGCAATAAATATACTGTATATTGAACACAACAACAATAATATGCAATAAATATACTGAATATTGAACACAATTACAGTAATATGCAAAAAATTAATTTGAGTCCGAACAATAGTAGATTTTCTTCAACAAAAGAGAACATGAAAACATACCACACACCCAGATAGATACCACACTGAACAAACATCTTTATATATAAAAGTATTTTAATGACATAAAAATTAATTTTTTTCATAGTTTTGACCTCGATTATTTTAAAACTTAACTTACTTCAAAGCTTGAGGCCACGTCTATGAAAAAAAATTTCAAAACTTTTTGTACCGACTTACTTCATTATCTTAACATCAACATAATAATCATGAATAACATAAACTTTAAAATTGCTTTACAGATAAACAAGTTGAGCAAGATAAACAAGTTGGTATTACAAGACCTCTCATACAGAAGATACTTTTCCACCCAACCACAAAAATAAATTACGCAATACCTGAACTAAACTTAAACACTTTTGACTCACCATGAGGTGAAAGAGTAGTACAAGCTTTTTTTGTCATGCTCCATGGCCCATATACTCCAGCACCTGCAACAGTATGTTGACATACACGAAATGAGTATGTCTTGTATGGCTCTGCAAACGTAAAAGTAAACTGCATTTCATCACCCTCATAGATACTATGAAACATTCCATCTTGACTACCACCGTCTTCATAAACTTGTAATATATACTCCACAACACAACTGTTATCGGTAGCAATAGATTCACAATCAGAAGCTTCTTGCTAAAAAAAGGTACTTTTCAAATAAAAAAACCATCTCATATAAAATAAAAGTTAAACTTTTCTATGGAGCAAAAAGTCATCTAAAATAAAATTATCATGATAGAATTGCATCTCTTACTTTTTTGAACTCTGCTAATGGTAATACATAATCCAGTACAGCATGTCACTGCTGCTATGCAAGTCTCTTTTTTAGACAATGGCTAGTAGGCAATAAATCTGATTTAAAATACTTCCCTTTCTAAGGGCTTGTGTTTGAGTACAAGCTAGAGATGGTTTTAAATAAAAAAAAACTAATTTTAGAGTGCAAGATTAAACAGCATCTGGGTACTATCCTATAGATAGCCCCCTAGACAAAAAACTGACCAGCCTTGCACCTTACCTTTATCAGGTTTGTATTAAGGCAGAGGGAAATAAAATTGTTTCATGCCTAGAATGATGAATCCTGGATCATTTTGGCTGGAATCATAAATTTTTATTATTTTATAGCTATTACAACTTTCTCTGCTATCTTTTATAATTTTCTCCTATTAATCAGCTCAATGGTTCTGTTATCTCCTTTAATGTTATTTCCTATTATTCTGTTGAGGTATCCCAGAAGTTACTGGAAATGAAGAAAAGTGTTGGCCTTCAAGGATGACTATAATACTGAGGTTAAAAAAAATGATTTGATAACCATAAAAACTTTTCCAGATCAACACCATACAAGGCTTTTATATAAGGCAAGCTTATGGAAAAGACCTGCATGCCAAACTTTAGCAAAAGCTTTTATATATCAAAAGAGTAATAGCAGTTGCTTTGCCACCACTGTCTAACACATGATAGAATCTTTAGATTAGTTAAAATCTTTAAGTCACAGCAGTTTACAATTCAGTCATAGAACAAGAAAATCTAAAATTGATTGTTAAATTGTCAAAGAGTTATTAGACTAAGGATTTAATGTTTGAAATTTGTTGATTAAAAACTTAAAGACTCTACAAATAATAGAGAGAAAACTGATCATATGTAGTAGCTTAGTTAAGGGATCAGAGCATTCTTCAGAGATTTTACAAATTAGAATCACAAATATTATTTTCCAGCAGGCAAGAAAACAAAATTTAATCAAGCACTTATTAAATAGTTTAAAGAGAGTTGAAGAAAGTTCTGGACCCTTCTATAAGAATTTGTCAGGAACGTTGCTTTGACTACAAGCCATAGAAGAGTTAAATTTAGAAATCGACTTTAACAACAAAAACAAGAGTGATTTGGATGTCTGACAATCGGATAATCTGTTTAAATGAAATGGCAAGAAGAATATGGCCAATAGATTCAAGAGTCAAAGAGTAAAATATCTATGCAAAAGGTTCTGCCTCATCTTTGGGAGAGGTAATAAGATCAGATCCATGAATTAAAGATGAAATGTTCAATTTACTTTAGTTAGACTTATCAAAACTGTTGAAAATTTTTTAAAAATCTCTGGAGCTTTATTTCTGAATTAATATAACAAGATTAAGTAAACTGGGAATAACAGAGCATCAGACAGATTTTACATTTATTTCTTGCAATAATAAAAAGATGCTTGTTCTGAGAGAGATGGCCATGTGAAAAAGATGAAAATAAAATGATTACAATGAGATATAACAGCTGCACAAGATACTGAAAACCAAGTAGAATGAGAACTTGAAACCCACAAAAAGAATTAAAAATTTCCATATCTGCGATTTTCATAAGACATCGGCCCAAGGATCATCATTAAAAAAATGATGAAAAGAATACTAGTCAGCGGTAGTAGTAAGTAGTGTGGTGATGAGGTGAGTCTGAAGAAAAAGTATGAGATGAAAGATTTGTAGAGATCATTGCATTTTCGGAATTACCTAAAGGAGAACAAGAAGAAAATGAACATAGACTTTTAGATTCTTGTTTAATTTATCAGTTTCAAAATATCAAATGCTTGTTTGTAGATTTTTTTAAACTAGATTTCATAATGCAACTTATCTTAATTCTTATGTCTGAAATGTGTTTTCCAAAATTGCATTTAATTATATAGAACTTATAGTTTACAGTGTTCTTTGAACAAATGAAAATGATAAAAAAGTCATTTTAAACCTAATTTACTTAAATAAGCACAACTTTACGCAAGATAATTTTAATTTTTTTTTTTTAATTTACTTAATTTTATGTTAATTAAGATACAATAAACAAAATTTTGGGGAGATGTGGGCAAAACTTTTCACAACATGATCTCAAACTTTTTATAGTATCTATTTATTATAGTTTAACAAACTGGTCACACATTCTATAACCTTCTTGACAAACATACTAGCTACCATGTGGTTTGACAAACATACTAGCTACCATACCATACTTTTTATAGTAATATTTTGACTGTCACATTTAAAATTACAAAAAAAAAAAAAAAAAAAAAAAAAATTTGTTTTGGGAAACATTTTTGAAAATAATGCAAGTATGCTATTATTAAAACTACAACATTTGAACTGCCCTTAACACATTAAATTCAATTTAAACAACTGATTTCTTTGTTTGTGGAGAAAAAAACAAAAAAACAAAAAACAAAAAAAAAACTATAACTGTATAAGTCATTAAATCTTTAACTAAATTATTAAAGTTGTTTTGTATATTTAGACTACGTAGTATTTATAAAATATTTTGCTTTTAAATAACTTATCAACAATTTTTAATCTTACTTCATCCCAACGGACAATTATAGCTCCTGGTCTCTCCACACATTCCACAATCTGAACACTTCCAGTCATAGTTAATTTCAATAAGTCAGCAGCTTGATCTTCAATGCTACTAAGTGCAGCTTCTTCTAATTTTGATGAGAATGATAATGATATAATGGGCATTTCAGATGATCTATATACATACATATATATATATATATATATATATATATATATATATATATATATATATATATATATATATATATATATATATATATATGTATACAGTGCTCGAAGTATGTATATATATATATATATATATACATACATTTATGCATATATATATATATTTATATATATATATATATATATATATATATATATATATATATATATATATATATATACATACATACTTTATATATATATATATATATATATATATATACAACTTTTTTTAAATATAAATATATTCACATATATATATATATATATATATATATAACTACATGATTTTTACTACTAGTTTTATGCTATTTGCAATCATCAGGTAACACACACATACTTATATGTCTATATTTTTGTGTATATATATATATATATATATATATATATATATATATATATATATATATATATATATATATATATGTATACAGTGCTCGAAGTGGGGCGGAATTTTTATTGGATTATAAATTATTTAGTGTTCAGTTTTTATGATCATGTTTGCGGCCACCTCAAATTGAGCGTGGGTTATTCTTTACATGGTCATAAAAACTTACCACCGAATAATTAATACATAAAATTATTATTATAAAATATTAATTGAATTAATAGAGTATAAAAAAAAATAACCTTAGCCAATTTATTTCCAAAAAGAAATAAAGAAGGCACTGATTTGGGAAAAATGCATCTTCTCCTAAAACTTGGAGTAACCAATTGTTCTTTCAATTTGTCAAAACAAGATGCATCAAAATGTAAGGAACATATACTTGAATTCTTGGAGATGTTATATAATCCAATTGCCTTTTTCCATAAATCTGCCGTTACAGGATTTGAAGGTAATTTGTGAAAGGATATGTGAGATCCTGATTTAGTATTACTAGTACAACCAATAACAGCACAAGCCGGCATTATGAATTTTGAATAATAAGTTTACTGTTCAATACTTTATAACCATCAAATTGAAAACATGAAGTACGTATATTTTTGCCCGTTTTATACAATTAACATTTAACAAAAATACAGACAAATTATTATTAATTAACGCAATAATGACCACATTAATTAATGGCAACAACTCAAGACGGATAGTAATTTAAATTGTTAAAAAATCGCAATGCGGGTTAAAAAGCATTATATTTGGTATTTCCCAATTTCTGTGTCATAATTTGTAAAAACACCTAATGAAAATTTTACTAAACAATAGACGATGTGGCGTCTGACTTTCTCATGCAAAATTCGGGTAGTAAAAAAATGGAGAAGGCGAGCTTCGGCTAAAACAACAACATTTGTTTTTCACGGTATGCATTCATTATTTATTTTTAATCAAAAAAAACTTGGTTCAAACCTTTTTTTAAACATTATCTTTAATATGAACACAACATGTGTCGGGAGTTTGGAATCCCTTTTAGGACTCCTCTCATGTATAGAAACAAGAGCAATTATGACCCAAATTGATATAATTAAAAAAAATTTCAACACAGAAACTTGGACCACTCTAATATATATTCTATATTCCATGCTGTCTTTCAAGCAAGGTCTGTAAGCAAATTAGAGCTGATAATTTTTAGTTTCAAGAAGAATTGATGTTGTTCATTGTTTAATATTACAATAAAAATTCAAATAATTGTTTGTTTGTTGTTCCCTATGGGGATTTGTTTTTAAAAGTTACGTTTTAAATCTCTTTTAAACATTTTTTAAATGTCTTTTAAACGTTCTTTACATAAGAATGTTTAGAAGACATATAAAAGACATTTAAAATACATTTAGAAGGTAACTTTTAAAAACAAATGCCCACTGGGTTGGTTGTTTTTATTTTCCTAATTTTTATAGCCAGTTTTCTTTTTTTTAGAAAAAGTTAGAACTAAAATGACAGGTAAACTAGTTTTTTTATTAGTACTGTTGCAATTTACTTTGGTTCAGTTTTGTCTTTAGTCTTTTTAAAATAATATAAGCAAGTTTTGTTTGATTTTTTAAAGCAATTGGAAAGAATTGAATTGCTTTAAGTTACTTTGACTATCTTTAAACATTTTTAGACAGTAAAACTAATTCTGATTTCAGTAAGCTCACTTTTCAGTTTTAAGTTGGAATTTTATTTATTTATTCAACATAAAAAGTTAAATAATGTAAGTTTATATAATAAAAGTTAAATAATGTAAGTTTATATACATAAATTTACATATATTTTTTATTTCTCTGTATTTATATGTATATTTTCTCTTAGAAAAAATAATAAGGAATAGACAAAGTAAAAAAGATTCTGCTTGAAGTTGTCAAAACAATGTTGTGTTCTTTTTAAGGTATCTGAAGTTGTCAAAAGAATGTTGTGTTATGCTTCTTTTTAAGGTATCTGAATATATATTTATTCGAATATTTACTTAAAACTTGTTCTTAAATGGTTCCATCTTTTTTATTATTTTAGATAAAAATATACTGACTGACATTGCTTCATTTTTATTAACAATGTTGTGTATTGTCATCTGCATTCTTTGTTACATTAAATTTTAATGTTTTTATATAAAATTAAATTTTAATCATGAAATGAACTTAAATTTATCTAATATATAAAACAACATTTATTAGTATTAATTATTATTAATGATTGAAAATAATTAATACTAATAAACGTGGTTTTATATATTAGATAAGTTCATTTCTTAAACAGTTTGTATTTTTTTTTTTTTTTGTAATACTATTTTGTAAGTTATATAATTATAAATCTATATAAACTTATAAAACGATTAATTTAAAATTTCAATAAATCTTAAATTAATTTGTTATAGGTTTTCATTTTAAAAATTGTTATTTTGAACAATAAAATTATTTAAATTTTTGTTTATTAATTGTACCTCAATGGTAATCTAGTGGTTAAACTAATGAGTTAAATTGTAGAGGTTTAAATATCATATATATTTAAACATATGTTTTTGTTTTTATTACCAAATATTATCTTTGTTATTAGGATTGCAGGTTTTTGTTGATTTTTACTACAACATTAGTATCCCTTTTTAGATATGTTTTCACCACTTTCGACTATTAATATTTTGATATTTTTATTTAATTTCTTTTCTATTTTTTTCTTTTTTAAATTACAGCGATTTATCAAAGTTGTTTATTTTATTCTTATGTTCACTTAAAATAATAGTAAATAATTTATATAATAAATTATAATTAGTTAATAATTTTATAGAAAACATCATAGTTCTCAAGATTTATTTGCATTTATTTACTTACAGAAGTAACACTGTTAATATGTTTATTATTTATTACTACAGAAGTAACACTGTTAATATGTTTATTATTTATTACTACAGAAGTAACACTGTTAATATGTTTATTATTTATTACTACAGAAGTAACACTGTTAATATGTTTATTATTTATTACTACAGAAGTAACACTAATGTTATTACTAACACTGTTAATATGTTTATTACTACAGAAGTAACACTGTTAATATGTTTATTATTTATTACTACAGAAGTAACACTGTTAATATGTTTATTATTTATTACTACAGAAGTAACACTGTTAATATGTTTATTATTTATTACTACAGAAGTAACACTGTTAATATGTTTATTATTTATTACTACAGAAGTAACACTAATGTTATTACTAACACTGTTAATATGTTTATTACTACAGAAGTAACACTTTTAATATGTTTATTATTTATTACTACAGAAGTAACACTGTTAATATGTTTATTATTTATTACTACAGAAGTAACACTGTTAATATGTTTATTACAACAGAAGTAACACTGTTAATATGTTCATTATTTATTACTACAGAAGTAACACTGTTAATATGTTTATTATTTATTACTACAGAAGTAACACTGTTAACATGTTTATTATTTATTACTACAGAAGTAACACTGTTAATATGTTTATTATTTATTACTACAGAAGTAACACTGTTAATATGTTTATTATTTATTACTACAGAAGTAACACTAATGTTATTACTAACACTGTTAATATGTTTATTACTACAGAAGTAACACTGTTAATATGTTTATTATTTATTACTACAGAAGTAACACTATTAATATGTTTATTATTTATTACTACAGAAGTAACACTTTTAATATGTTTATTATTTATTACTACAGAAGTAACACTAATGTTATTACTAACACTATTAATATGTTTATTATTTATTACTACAGAAGTAACACTGTTAATATGTTTATTATTTATTACTACAGAAGTAACACTGTTAATATGTTTATTACAACAGAAGTAACACTGTTAATATGTTCATTATTTATTACTACAGAAGTAACACTGTTAATATGTTTATTATTTATTACTACAGAAGTAACACTAATGTTATTACTAACACTGTTAATATGTTTATTACTACAGAAGTAACACTGTTAATATGTTTATTACTACAGAAGTAACACTGTTAATATGTTTATTACTACAGAAGTAACACTGTTAATATGTTTATTATTTATTACTACAGAAGTAACACTGTTAATATGTTTATTACTACAGTAGTAACACTGTTAATATGTTTATTACTACAGTAGTAACACTGTTAATATGTTTATTACTACAGTAGTAACACTGTTAATATGTTTATTACTACAGTAGTAACACTGTTACTACTTTACTGTTTACTTTACTGTTAATGTTTATTACTACAGTAGTAACACTGTTAATATGTTTATTGATAATAGTGAAATTAATATGGATGATTTTAGGCTTTAATAAATTATTAGAAGAAATAGTATAAACTTAAAATTAATTGATATTTTTGTGAAATGATTAGAATTAGGCAAGCTGAATTTAATTATTATCAAAATGTAAGAAATGCTGCTTGGCAAGAAGAAATTAATTTATACCTACATTAGAACATGGTTAGGCGAAATAAAAATAATTCACAAAATATATGAAGTGCTGCTAGACAAGTAAGAATGTATGGATATATAGACAAGTAATTGTATAGCACGAAGTGATACTATTCTAGATCTTAATTATTTAGGAGAAATGAACCAGATCTGTTATCAAAGTTTTTTTCAATCATGATTTCTTGGACCCATCAGATAAGTGTTAATATTTATATTTTAATTGAAATTCAACCTTACATATATCTAATTTTTATTATACTCTACTTTTTGTTTCTCATTACTTTCAGATATTCTGATAAGTTTAAGATTATTATAATAACTTTTTTATGATTATTATTAATTAGACTATTATCAGATTTATTATATTAGTTGTATTTGTTATTTCAGTTTTAATATCACTACATTTTTCATGAATCAAGTTTTATTGAATTTTCATATAACTGATTATTATTACCCTAAAATTAAATGATTATATATACTTTTTGAAGTTCAAGCATTATTGTATTCTTTTTAACTCCTAACTGGTTGTCAGAAAGTTTTCCATATTTTGTTGACACAATAAAAAAATTAAAATGCAAGACCAGAATTTTTTTTTTTAATTACTTATTAGACTGCCTGCCCCAACCAAACCCTCAGTTGATGTAGCAGTACTCCGTTGCGAGTCAGGCTATTTATCAGTCGATGTAGCAGCACTCTGTTGCGAGTTAGGATATAAGATAGTTGATGTAGCAGCATCCCATTGTGAGTCAGGTTATAAGATAGTCGATGTAGCAGCACTTAATTGTAGCAGCAGGCTATAAGATAGTCGATGTAGCAACACTTCGTGTATGATTTGCAGTTTATTAATAAACGTTTTATCAAAAAAAATAAAAACATTGTTTATATTTTTAAAAACATTCTAGTCCATTAAATTTGCTTTTTTACGGTTTTTTAAAAAAATGGTTAATTTTCAATTAAATTAATGTTTTAACTTTTTGACAACACAGAAATGTTGAACGAAAGACATAAGTCAAAAGAATCATTTTTTACCTTCCGTACTCTCAAATGCAACAATTTATAGAACTATATATATATATATATATATATATATATATATATATATATATATATATATATATATATATATATATATATATATATATATATATATATATATATATATATATATATATATATATATATACTTTCTTAAAAATGTCTAAAAATCAGATAGAATATAAATATTATAAATACTTTCATTTTCAATTTAATGTCAATTATATTCTAGTGGTTGATTTGTATTATTTACTTTCCATTAGAAAACCATTTTAGCCAGCATAAATAATAACTTTTAGAAAACAAATCCAAATTCATTTTAGAGAGAAACAAATTTAAAAAGTTTTGAATCAAAAAGTTTAATTTAAACAATTTAATCTTTCCTAAAATAAGTATAAATAACTTTTAATGACATTTGTTTAAAAATTTATTCAATAATAATAATAATTATAGATGTAAAAAAACATGTTTTTATTGAAGGACTTTATAAATTAAAAAAAACAACAAAATAAACTTACACTTTTCCAATATCTGCTAAAGCTTGAGATATGTAATCTATTGTGTCATTTCCTTTATCTTTCTCAATACTACATTTTTTTGCTGGATATAAAAATAAAGATACTTAATTAAACTCGTGATTTCAACTTTTCTTATGTTTTTTAGAAGTTTAGATTTTTTTGTAAAAATTGTTTCAATGGTAATTAATAACAACCATCAAATGTTCTTAAATAATTTCATTACGGCTGTGGTATTCTATAAGAAAATGCCTTAGGCATTTTTCATACTTTGTATAATTACCTACCTCACATTGATACCTAAATCACATAGATACATCACACTGCTACCTATGCATCTAAGTAGAGTCTAGATAATCCAGTTTTTATAATTCTAGGCATGAAACAATGTAACACAGGTTTACACCTATGCCAGCCTAATAAAAAAGGGGTTTAATACTGGTCAACAGAATTATTCTGCTTACCCCTTAAATCTTTTCCTAGAAGGCTATCTACAAGACAGTAGCTGGAACAGTCAACACCTGCTCAAGATAAATATTTTTTTTGACACCATCTTTATTATTTACTCAACCAAGAGCCCAAAGGCAGGGAAAAAAGTAGGATTTTATTCCTCCTATTTTTTACTTTAAAAAGCAAACCCTACAAGTAGCATGACATGGGAAAGGTTGTACTATGTTACATGATACCCATAGCAGTGTGATTGCGATGATCCTGAGTCTGACCTGGAGTAGATAGATAGTAGAAGTTATTTCCTGTAAACAGTACTTTGATGGGGATACTTTGGAAAAGCATTAGGAAAAACATTACATCTAACAGAATAATAGAAATTAAGATGAGCATAAGTTTTACAGTTAAAGTCACTATTTGGTAACTAAGCTCACACTGCATCAGAGATGTAAGCACAACATAATATTTAACACAAATGTAATTATATAGTAAATTACAAGTGAGCAAACACTGCACCAGAGGTTTACACAAAATACAAACATACATATTTAGTAAATTACAAATGTGCTAACATAGTAACTAGACAACTTTGACTATATTAAAGACAAAAAAATATATAGCACTGACTATAGCATGACATTAGATGTTATTGATTACAGGAAGTACGCATCTACTAGCTGTTGCTTAGAATTTGAACCCAAAGTTTGGCATCATGGAAGAGCAGATGATTGTCACATTACTGCCAAAGTCCCTAAGAATATTTTTGATGGAAATGTATCTATCATAGCTACAGCAAATGATATCTTCCCAAATGTCTTACAAAAAGTAACTAGAGCAATTCTTCAAGATTGTGAGTTGATATAGCAAAATGCAAAGCCAGTGCTTCAACAGCATTGAGGAAAAAAACTACCAAGGATACGGCAGAAATTGCTAAATTAGATATAAAGAAGGCTGTGAAAAAAAGCCGTTATCCCTGCATAATTCATTTTGATAGAAAGACTTTGTTTGAAATTAATCATGGAAAAAGGTCAGGTCCAGGTCAGGTCAGGTTTTCCTGCTACTGGTAACATGTAACCCAGTACAACCTGCTCCATGTCCTGCTGCCTTGTAGGATACGCTTTTTTAGGCAAAGGCTAGGAGAAGTTAACTCCGAATTAAAACACCCCTTGCCTTGGGGCTCTTGGTTGAATAAAGGCTAGAGATGGTGTCTCGATAAAAATACTCATCTTGGGCAGATGTTACATGCATCCAGCTGCTGTCTTGTAGAAGGCCTCCTAGGCAAAGACTTAAGGGGTAAACAGATTCTATCTGTTGACCAGCCTCGCACCCCTTCCTCATCTATTAGGCTGGCGCAGATGTATTTTTAATACATTGTTTCCAGTTTAGGATGTTGAACGCTGGATCTTCTTGACTCAATGCGTGGGTATTGCTTGTGTCTCTATTTTTATGACTGGGCAACCCATTCTATTATCTCCTAATGAGGGTACAGCTCTAAAACTCAGTTTTATGGTTCTGAGGCCGGCTGGTAGTCAGGTTTCCCGAACTCTGTGGTAGCTCTCAGAGAGGCTGATTCCATCAACAGCCGAAAAATATCAGAGTACTAACAGTGCCATGTTGCGCATGAATGGTGTCCCTGTTTGTACTTTTGGTGTGCATTGCAGAGGCCACATTTGGAGCCCTTTGTTACGGCTTAGGGTTTATTAATAGTAATGAGGCTATTGCTTAGTTGTTAAATAGTGTACTGAGTACTATCTATACTTGAGTCAAGTTCTTTATAAATTTAAAATGACTAAAATACCTAAAACTAAAAAACACAAAAAACCATCGTCATCACCAAGCTCTCTAAATCTATCATTTACTAATATTCGTGGTCTTCGAAGTAACTTTTCTTCTGTTGAGTCTTATCTCTTGCAAAGTTCACCAGACCTACTTGCTCTTTGTGAGACTAATTTGAGTTCGGCTGTCCCATCTTGTGATCTTAGTGTTGATGGTTATCTTCCTTTAATTCGTAAAGACTCCAATAATCACATGCTTGGCCTGGGCATCTACATTCGTAAGAACTCACCCATTTGTCGTGAAACTAGGTTTGAATCTACAGACTATTCATTTATGTGCTTTCGTTTAGCACAACTTCACTCTATCGCCTTTCTCTTTGTTCTATATCGCTCTCCTTCATCCCAAGATTGCACTATTCTTGATGTTATTTCTGATCAAATTGACCAAGCCCTCTCTCTTTATCCATCGGCCAATATCGTCGTTGTTGGTGACTTTAATGCCCATCACACCGATTGGCTTGGCTCTAGTGTCAGTGACTCTGCTGGCGTTAAGGCCCTCAACTTTTGCCTTTCTCAATCTCTAACTCAAATAGTCAACTTTCCAACTCGTTTTCCAGACAACCCTAATCATTTACCTTCTCTACTCGACTTATGTCTTGTTTTGGATCCTAGTCAGTGCTCAATTTCTCCACATTCACCCTTAGGTACTTCTGATCACGGTTTGATCTCTCTAAAACTATTATCAAATTCTTCTACTTCATCAGAATCCCCCTATCATCGTACCACATACAACTACCTTAAAGCTGACTGGGACTCTTTCCGTGATTTTCTTCGTGATGGCCCTTGGGTAGAAATCTTTTGTCTTCCTGCTGACAAATGTGCTTCTTACATAACTTCGTGGATTCAGGCTGGCATGGAATCTTTTATTCCCTCTCGACGATTCCAGGTCAAGCCTCACTCTTCTCCTTGGTTTTCCTCACATTGCGCTGCAGCAATTTCTAATCGAAACCGTTACTTCCATATCTATCAGCAAAACAATTCTCCAGAAAACAGACATCTGTTCACTATCGCCAGAAACCATTGTAAAAAGGTTTTGTCTGACGCCAAAGCTCGCTATTCCCAGGTCATTAAATCTCGTATCTCATCACAAAAATTAGGCTCTCGAGACTTCTGGAGAATCTTTAACAGTATCAATAATAAGGGCAAATCTGTTATTCCTTCTCTCTTGTATGGTTCAGACTTTGTCACCTCACCTAAAGACAAAGCTGAATTGTTTGCTAAGAACTTTTCATCAATATCATCTCTTGATTCCACTAGTTGTGTTTTACCTGACATAGCCGTCAAACAGGTTGATCCCTTGCTTGACATTCGCATCACTTCAGCTTCTGTATCTAAAGTAATTTCCTGCTTAGACTCTTCAACAGCTTGTGGTCCTGACAACATTCCTGTTGTAGTCTTGCAGAGGTGTTCTCCGGAGCTTTCATCCATACTTTCTAAACTATTTAACAAGTGCTTATCAGAGTCTTGTTTTCCATCATGCTGGAAAGCAGCATCTGTTATTTTCAAAAATTCCGGAGAGCGATCTGATTTATCTAACTACCGTCCCATTAGTCTTCTTCCTGTCATAAGCAAGGTTTTTGAATCTTTAATCAACAAACACTTAATCTCTCATCTTGAATCAAATAACTTACTTTCTGATCATCAATATGGATTTCGGTCTTCTCGTTCTACAGCTGATGTGCTAACAGTAATAACCGATAGGTTTTACCGTGCATTAGATAGAGGTGGAGAGGTTAAGGCTATCGCACTTGACATTTCTAAAGCTTTTGATAAAGTTTGGCATGCTGGTCTTCTCCATAAGCTTTCTTCTTATGGTGTAGCTGGTAACGTCTTCAAGATTATTGAGTCCTTTCTTTCCAATCGTAGTATAAAAGTTGTCCTCGATGGACAACACTCTTCTTCACATCCTGTAACTTCAGGGGTTCCTCAAGGTTCAATCCTTGGCCCTATACTCTTTTTAATTTACATTAACGATCTTCCAGATGTTCTCACATCTAAGGTGGCATTATTCGCTGACGAAACTACCATTTACTCTTGTCATGATAAGAAGCCTACACTCTCTGATTGCTTGGAGGGGGTATCTGAGCTTGAAAAGGATCTCACTTCTGCTACAGCATGGGGCTCACAGTGGCTGGTGAACTTTAATTCAGATAAAACTCAATTTTATTTGGCCAATCGTTATCGTAATAATTTAGATCTTCCTATATTTATGAATGGTAATGTACTAGATGAGTCATCTACCATTCATCTTCTAGGATTAACTCTTACTTCTGATCTTTCTTTTAAACCGTATATCAAATCCATTGCAAAATTAGCATCTGCTAAGGTTGCATCTCTTTATCAAGCTCGACACTTTCTTACTCCAGATTCTATTCTCTATCTCTATAAATCTCAAATCCGTCCCTGTATGGAATACTGTTGCCACATCTGGGGCGGATCTTCTAATGATGCTCTTTCTCTTTTAGACAAGGTGCAAAAACGAATTGTAAACATAGTTGGACCTGCTCTGGCAGCCAATCTCCAACCTTTGTCACATCGTCGTGATGTTGCTTCTCTTTCTCTTTTCTACAAATACTATAATGGGCACTGCTCTAAAGAGCTAGCGTCCCTTGTGCCATCTACTAAAATTCATTCTCGTGTTACTCGCCATTCAATTAAGTCTCATCCTTTTTCTGTGACTGTACTTCTTATTCTTCTAGTTTTTTTCCTCGAACATCAGTTTTTTGGAATTCGCTTCCTTCATCTTGCTTTCCTGATTCATATAATTTGCAATCTTTTAAGTCGTCAGTCAATTGTTATCTTG